GCTGAAAAGTAGAGGAATAGTAAAGCCATGGAAAAGAAACAGATAGATTTCTAAAGTTAGTCTGACTCTACTACTAGTGTCTGTTTATATAGACATTATTGTTATTTTAGACCTTGTCATCATCTTCCATTTCTCCTATATTGGGAATGTTGTGTTTGATTTCTTCTCTATAGAAGTATCTGCTATTTTAAATTTTATAAAGAAAGTATTACCTTTGGTTCAATTGCTGTGGTCACGTTGAGTTCAATGAAATCATTATCATTACACATCAAAAAGTCCCTTTTCATGGGTGGTATCTGCTAAGAACTAAAGGGCAATTTGGATCATGATAATAACCGAAAAGATGTTAGGTTTTGACTCTGATATTATGTTAAGGTTTCAACATAAAATCAAGGTAATACGTGGACTAGCCTAACATGTATTTAAACCATAACAAATGACATGAGGTAGAGAATGTGGAACTTTCAAGAGGATTTGTTTATAAATATTTTTAAGAAAAAAAATGAAATAAATTTCTTCCAAAGATAAAACTAGTTTATATATAAATTAAAATTTTGATTTTGAAAAATTAATCTGGATTACTTATACAAATTAACTTAGATATAAGTTAAATTTGGATAATAAAAGATTATTTCACTTTTTCTTATTTTCTTCTCTTGTAAAAATTATAAAAAAAAATCATTCAAAACATACTTTTATGTACCCACACAAATGACGCCGAAGCCTATGTCACGATATGGGCCTACAAGTATTCTTGGGCCTTTGGATATGTTATAGAGGTTGAAATCTTCAAGTGATCAACTATTGTAGTCAAATTTGATTTGGGCTATTTTTGGATAAAGTTAAAAAAAAAAATAGTTTTGTGAATTTTAATACACAAGATAAAAAGAAATATTTTTTTATTGTTTTGATCATAAAATAAATAAAAAATAATATTTTTTTCACTCTATATATATATATATATATATAACAACACATGAAGATATGTTGATTCCTTAGTGGGTTTGGATTGGATGCATGTATCCTGTACACACATTTTCTTGAGTGGTAGGATAGCCACCCATGAGATCAAGAATCAGGAGCTAAAGGGACAGGAAAACCATTTTCTAATCAATTATTTTCATTCTGTTCTTTTCTTTTTAATTTAATACTAACTTATCTTTCACTCTCTAATTAAAAGAAAATTATGAGTATGAAAGTAACATTTTTTTTTTCTCTATATCTTTTTCCTGTTGTCCATTTTATATATAAAATTTAAGCCAAGAAAATGATGTCTCAACCCAGAATGTAAAAGAAACATGTTGGGTCGGTGGGCATGCCTAATTAATTTTCACCACAAACTTCAATATTTGCCAAAATCATGCCTGCAAATTCTGGACCACTTAAAAAAAAAAGTTATTAGGTGGTGGAAAAAGACTTGTATGTAAACATAACAAGGTTATTTTTTTATTATTATTTAATAATAGTTTCATATTTCGTCATCAACTTCAAAAATTTATATCACAAATTTATACATGAATCTTTGAATCTAAACAATAATGGTTTAAGAATAATAATAAATATTTTATTATAGATTATTTAAGTTTAAAATTGTTTATATAAATAAGTATGAAAAAAAAAAAAAACTCCATTCAACCCTTCAACACCTGATTCATTAAGTTAATCTCATCCAACACACGTGGTTACGTGACCAATAATCTTAACAATTTGTTGACTTTCAAATTGTGTTGAGACCCAATAATCTTTCAACCATGTTCTTTGATTTTGGTTTTCACGTTCTCACACGGAATTGATTGGCGTGGGGTCAATGCCCTTAAGTCTTACAATTCAACACGCTCACCTCAGACCAAGTGCCCTTATTTTTTTGCCCTTTTTTATACGCCATTTGTACTCTAAGTCATACCCCATGTCCTTTGAAAATTAAATATTATTAATAATTGTTCATAATTTGTATTAGTATGGTATTTTAAAAAAAATATATAGGTTAAATAATTTTTTTACTTCTCTTAATTTGGTTAGTGTTAATTTGATTTTTTTTTAAGTGGATTAATTTAGTTTTTTTTCTTTTTTATTAAATTGTCTAATAGAAATAAAAAGTATTGTGAAATCTTAAGGTAAGAGTATTCAATGATGTGACATTAATATATATAATACTAAACTATATGATAACTTATATCAATAAAAAAATATATTATATTGTAATTTGATTTCTCCTTTTATCTTGTTTAATATTATTATATATTATATATACGTTTGAAATTAAATAGATTAAAAATTATCCAAATGATATTATTATAACAAATAAATTATATTTTATGAAAAATTAAATACAAATTTTTTATTAAAATATATAATTCACAAGTTTGTGAGAGGGTAAGGAAATTATTATAATTAAACTAAGTTGTCCTCTAATTTCACTTAACACCAGTTTTTTTTTCTAATAAATGAAAAGACATTATGCTCTTTTAAAGTGAGTTTTATTATTCACTATACAACCAGCATCACTAATTTTTAGGAAATATGGAGAGAGAAACATTGACTTGCGAGACCCTTTTGCAAAACAAGAAATGAAAAATGGTTTCTTCTTTTTTTTCTTTTTTTTTTCTTTTTTTTTTTGAAATTGACATTCCCACAAATACAAACAAATAAAATGTTGGCTACTTTCTAAGCAAAAGGGGTAGCCTTTCTTTTTGGTCTTCCTGTCCTAGTCTTCCCCACAATGAAGATTGGGTTTAATGCTTTTTTTATTGTATAATTCTTTTTTATTTTGAAAGAAAAAAAATGTAATAATTAAAGTATGATGCAAATATGAGGATAAGCAATGTCATTATTTTTTATATAATTTAGAAAAAAAATTTGGAAAAGAACCATACATTTTAATGATTTCAATTTGTTTATTGGTTATTATCAATTAATTTGTTGTATTTATGAATTTTATTTTGGAGTAATTAAAGTCAAAATAAAATATTTTTTTTATAATTAAAAATGTTTGAATATGTTCATTCATGTATTATATTTATGAATTTTATATTTAAAATATATCAGGAAAAAAACTATTGTTTAAAATAAAATATTGTTTAAAATAAAATATTGTTTGAAGACTTTTTTTTCATTTAAATGTTATTTTTAATGTATCATTGAATTTTGTTTTAATTATTATCATTATTATATTTTCTTTTCTTTTTGTAATTTATAAATTATTTTTTGATAATTCATTCATAAAATTTTTGTTAGTAACTAATTCACGTTATTAACAAAAAATATTGATATATTTATAATTGAAAGATGAGAACATCTTCATCCTCGTCTAATATTTTATTTCTCTATGTATTCTTCTTCAATAAAGATATTGTCGGTATATATACATAAGACACTTTAATATTTTAGTAAGAATTAAGATTAAAAAATAAATTATTTATATTATCTTCGTGAATCTTTTTCTAAGTCCTGAGCTTTCTATTTTTGGTCGCATAATTATAATACTCATATTTATATTTTGATCTATATATATATTAATGTCTCGGTAGATAAAAATTATTTTTGTTGATGAGAAATCCATAATGAAACTAAAAAAAATCAAACCAAAATAAAAAATTAAGTTAAATTACTAACTTCACCTGAAAGAAACAACCTTTTGAAAAAAAAAAAACAAAACTATATTTTTAAAATGGACTAATCTAAAGAATGCACAACTAGTGTTTTTGACCTACTTGTTGTTTATCACAGCCACAACTCACTAAACCTTTCTAAAACCAAAGGATCATGGAATCTTTTCTAAGAAAAAGAAAGGCCATAATTAAACTGTGAAAGAATTACAAGGTTAAAGGTGCAACACAACTTCTAATAATCTAATTATGATTTTATTCTTCTTTCCATTGTTGATTATGTTGGCTATTGGCATCTCACAACTTTAGAAAATTGCGGCCAAGTTGGAATTTCTTTATTGCTGATTCTGGTAGTCATTGGTTTTCTGTATATAAAGTCCAAACCATAATGAACAAAATCTTGACTCATACAATATTATTTTATGTTTTTGATGTTCCAAACTGAAAATAAAGACACCTTAGAACTTCAGCTTGTTTCTTCTTTAATATAGTTACAAAAGTAGAAATAGTGACACCTTAGGACAAGTTAAGTTAAACAACTTGGCTTGTGTTTGGATTCACATTTCTAAGATATAAACAAAAAGTCCGTTTACACTTTTCAAAACAGAAAAACTCTGATGATTAAATGAAAACTGTAACCCAAACACACCATTAATTATGTACTCATTGAACAAGTGTTTTTCCTATAAACATTTGTGTACAATTTCTTTTGATGTCTAAAAGAGAAAGAGCAATATTAAACTGCTTATCTATAAATTGTAAGTTGTTTTCATAAAATATCTTGAAAAAGGCATTAAAATAAACAATATATCATAAACTAACTTCATTTCATGTGTTCTTTGAAACACTTGAAAGATTGGGAAATATGATAAACCTAAATAAACTCTTCCAAAATTCATCCTAATTAAGTTGAAAAATAGAGATAATTCACCATATCAGTGTATTACTTGCCTAACTAAAGGGCAATCCAAAAAAATCCATTGTATTATTGCAGGGCAGAGTGTTAAATTAAGGCACCATCCTAACAAATTTTCCAAAGAACTAAATTCTATGTTGCTTTTATCTGGCATGAGTGTTCACCACAACAATTTGATAACTGATATTGCTAATCCATTGAATCCTCCACGAGAAGAAGCAGAAAGATATGAGAACAGATATGTAACCAAAACATGCGAAATCCATAATCATAAATTTTACACAAAGGGTTGTGATCATGGAAAGTTACAACAACAAAGCACTACATTTAACTATTTTTAAAACCTAACACCATGACTAAAAGAAACCCTGTTGTCAGCAGGAGAACTTCGATTCTCTCTTGCATAACAACCAAGTCCCCTCAATCAAAGTAATTAACCTAAACATGACTCTAAAACATGTTAGACAATTAACTAGCCTCTAGATAACATAATCAGACCATTCAGAGATATATGAAGTATGGTCCATGGTAAAACTAGGCATCTTATCCAATCTAATAGGATTGTCCTTCCCTCCAACCAACCTAGCAGGGTTGCCAACTGCAGTAGTCCTTGGTGGAACATCCTTCAACACCACAGAACCAGCACCAATTTTAGCCCCATCACCAATCTGAATATTTCCCAAAATACAAGTCCCTGCACCTATCAACACCCCATCACCAATCTTAGGGTGTCTATCCCCACTTGCCTTACCAGTCCCTCCCAATGTTACATTATGCAAAATTGAGACATTATTCCCAATAATTGCAGTCTCCCCCACCACAAGCCCAGTAGCATGATCCAACAAAATCCCACGTCCAATTTTTGCACCGGGGTGAATATCCACAGCAAAAACCTCAGACACCCTGTTCTGAATCAACAGAGCCAGAACCGTCCTCCCTTGAAGCCACAATTTGTGAGCAATCCTATGAGCCTGACATGCAAGAAACCCTTTGAAATTCAACAAACAATGCACATAACTAATGCATGCAGGGTCCCTCTCTTTAACAGCTACCAAATCATCCTTCACAGCACCTATGATGTCATCTCCACCATCATCAATCAACACACCCAAGAAAAGATCAAAAAGAGTACTGCTCGGAAGGCTCAAACTGCTCAAATTGGTAGAGAGGTGGTTGGCCAAGGCACTCTCCAATGATTTGTGAGACAAGATGGAACTGAAATAGTAGCTAGACAAAATAGGTTCATGATCCACATCCAACCTCGCCTCCTCTTGAATCTTTAACCACAGATCAACAGGCTCAAACTCAAGAACAGCAATACCACCCTCCCCACGTGTACCCAACTCCTCCACACGTGCGAAAGGCATCTCTCGATTCTTGCAAATGGGTATGCAGGGGACGCGGTCAGTGGGTCGACAGAATTTGATATAATTAAAAGAATGGTCATCGGGTTGAGGAGCCCTCGGGTTGCGTGAAAGAGGGGTTGGGGCGTCAACGCAAGTGGCCATGGAGAGAGAGAAAAGATGAATTACGGGCAAAGGTTGGAGCTTTGAAGGATGAAGAATAATGGGAGTGAATTGTATTGAGGAAGGAGTGAGAGGGGAAGTCTTATATAGCGGAGAAGTGCAAAACCGCCCTAAAACCAGAACATTCATGGGAAATAGAAAATTTTGAAGGAAGAATTAAAAATTAAAAATAGGGCAAAGGGAAAATGAATTTTACTTGCTGTATGTGTTGTGTTGTTGGCTGATGATTGATGAGTGAGTGAATGTGATCAGTTTTTGTGAAGGAATGGCTGGTCCTGGTCTTAAGGAGGCCACATCTCAGACAAAAAAAAAAAAGGTTATATACTTTTTTACATTGCTTTCTTATTATAAATTTATTCTATATTATAAGTTCCTTTTATTTTCATGATAATAATTGTCTATTAGAGAGAAAATTATTTACAGATATCATCAAACCATTTTATAGAATTTTTTAGTTAATAATAATATAAATTATTTATTTATATTAGTGAAAACTAGTATGTATATGTTTTATATAATTACTTTTTAAAATTTTATTTTATTTTTTAAATACATAAATTATAATAGTTAATTTTCATTAATTTATATTATTTTTATTTTTTTCTGATTATAAAAAGGTTTTAAAAAAAGAAAATTTCATTATATATAATTATAAATTAAATATTAATAAAATTATCTAAGGGAAACTATTTGACACAAATTAATATTTATTATGCATTAATATTTTTACAACAATTTAATGATATGTTAATTTTAAATCAAATTAAATAAAATTTATTTAACTAAATTGTAATTAACATTGAAGAATTTAGGAAGTAAATTTGACTCAGCAATCACATTTTTTTCAATAATACATTATACTAATAATAAAAAATTATTTATTTAGATATTTAATAATAAAATATTGTATTTTAATCATTAATTATAAAAATAGAATAATAAAAATAAAATAAAAATCTTTATTTTTTTTATTAATCTCTTTTAGAAGGGAATTTTGTAATGTAGTGTTGAAAAAGAAAAAGAAAAAAAAAACTAAAAAGTATAAAGTATATATTAATGGCATTGCGTAAGGGACTGCGTTTACGTGTTCGATGTGCAGCTTCACATTTGATATTATGGGATAACATATGACAATGCACTCAATATATATGGGACACTATTTGCATTCATATCTCTTTGGTTTTGGTGACATCTAATAAATTTATTGGACCTTATTATCATCAAATTTTACAATTTATTTTAATTTTTGTATATTATAACAGTTTTTAGTTTTTTTAATTTTTTTTCTAAAATTATAAATTTAGATATAAATAAAATAATTGGTGTAATACAATTTATATTAATGTTTTTAAAATTCAGTTTAGATTTAACATTTTTCAAACCAAATTTAATTAAATAATATTTCTATAATATAGATATATCATACATTTATAATAATAATAATTTTTTTAATATCTATATAATAAATATTATATTATATTTTTCGTAAATTACAATAAAAAATATAATATAAATTATATTAAAGATAAAAGATATATAATAATTAAAAAAATAAAAAATAATTATTAATTAAAGTTAATTTATTTAATATGAGATAAATATAAAAAATTATATAGTTTAGTTTTTATAATTTAATAGTAAGCAAAGAAAATAAATATTTTTAACTAAATAAAACAACTAAGAAAGTATTTGAAAATAACATTAACAATGATATTTTGGCATAAAAGAAAACAATATAATAATTAACGAATGAAATTGAAAAAGTGAGATATTGTAAATAATAGCCGCCGTTCATGTTCAATGATTCTTTGACTTTTGTTATGTAATCCATTACGTCACAAAGATTCCACTTGATCTTCACCCACTCTTCAAATTATTTTTCTTAATTTATGTTTTTATATCTCTAATTTAAATTATGTAAAATTTATAGTTTTTTAAGTTTTTTTTTTCATTCTTTTCTTTTTCACTTTCTATCACCCCATTCAAAAACTTAATGTAAAAACAAAAATTGAAACATTAATATGCCCCTATCTTTTCTTCTAAAGCCTTTAGAAATTCCCTACAACATGAAACAAAAAAGTTGCTTTAGATTCTCTGTCTTTTGTTTTATGCTTAAGAGTGGGCCAGTGCAGTGGTATATGCTCATGAAATATGCTGAATTTGGAATATTTGACAAGAAATAAATTGAAAAGTGAATGACAATGAAGAGCTCTTTGAAACGCATTATTTGTGAAGGATGGAGATATATCAACTTTTTTCAGCAAAATTGAAACAACAACATTAAGCTCCAAAACATATATTATAATAAGAAAAAATCAACCACACAATAATTATACACAACATGAGAGGTGAAAAACTTCAACAAAAATTGATGACCAAAATAATGGTTAATTTACAAATCTATTTATAGTAAAATAGCATTATGAGAAAATATTGTATAATCTCGTATTCAGATGACTGATCTTGACCATTAATCTTGGGATCAAATAATATATTATTAATAAATATAAAAGAAAAAAAAGGAAATGGTAAAAAGATAAAATTATAGACATATACTTAAATATATTAAATGATAAAGTGACTGATCTTGACCATTAATCTTGGGATCAAATAATATATTATTAATAAATATAAAAGAAAAAAAAAGGAAATGGTAAAAAGATAAAATTATAGACATATACTTAAATATATTAAATGATAAAGAGGGATTGAGATGATAAAATTGTAAATATACAAGTAAATATATTAAATGTTTATTATATTTGGGGGGGGCAAAATCATAAATTATATAAGAGTTACAAAACTTGGAAGGAGGGCACGACCCCCTCAGCTTCCAAGAAGATCCGTCACTGCTCGTATTATTTTCTCATAAAGATGAAATAAATACTAGAGGTGGGTTGAACCTTCCCACTCATCAAATTGGGTTTCATGGTTAAAAATCAACATGATTGTCTTAACCTATGATTTAAGTGGTTCAAGTTGGAACATGCAACCATTTATTTTAAATTTTAAAAATAATTATAATAATATAGTAATATTAATTGATGTTATTTTTATCTTTTTACCTTTATTTCATACCGTCACTATAAGTCAAACTCTCACTTAAACTTATTATCAATTTATCAATTGTTCATAATATTATTGCTTTCATTGTTGCATCTTGATCACTTGTTATCTTTCCGCTACATCACCATATTTGTTGTATTTATCGTATTTTAATTGTTTCATAGTGTTTGTCATACTAGTGACACAGCGTTTTAGTCTCATGTTTTAATCGTCTCGTAATATTTGGTAGCGTATTCATTACGTCAGTGTTTCAGTTTCACCAAAATATTTACTATGTGTTCAGTCACATTATAGTGTTTGTTGTATCACTGCATCATTATATTTTAATTACTAAATTAGCTTATTAAAAAAAAATGTAGACTAGTGAGCTAACTCACCAAACTTATAATAAGTTAAATCGAATTATGATGTTTCTAATTCCTCATAAAATGAGTGATTGAGATTTTCTATTTTCAGTTTAATTCATGATGAACTAACCCATATAAATCAGGTTTAGTCCAACGACACTCCCGGTGAATACAATTACATGAAGAAATCTCGTTTGCTTAGAATAACAATATGCTTTCACATGAATAAGCAAAAGAAGGAAAAGTAAATAGTTTAAGATGATTGTTATTGCTTACTTGCTTTAAGAAACACCCCCATTAGCAGCTTCTATTTTAGTCCAATTTATGCTTCTTGATATGTTCATCTTAATCTCTGAAAGATTGCGTAGTATCCAAAACTGAAATATTTTTTTCTGCCATTTTCTTCCAATGGTCAACTTCCTGGTTGTAAGTTGACCATTTGGGTAAGGGTAGGCCGAAGGATAGAGAGGGCTTTATGAGACAGGCCTGGCAAAAGATGAGACAAATTGACACTTCTTTATCACCATATCTCTCATCACGAAAACCTGTCTGAATTATTGGAGATGCTAATCCACCAAGTTGCACACTCAAGAGAACATAGCAATTTGGTACCCACATAATGAAACTTTTAAGATTTGGCTCACACCCTATTCTGGAATAAATCTCTTAAAATGTTTTGCTAAACATGTTATGCTGTGATGTGATCCCGGTTAACCAATCTCTTGTCAGAAATTCCTTTTATTATGATTTGAATACCACTTCATTAACTTGTAAGAAAGATAATGCAAGTAGTAAGCCAGCATATAAAGGTATAAAGGGAAATACTGAATTGCTATGAATGCTGAGAAAAAGCATAAAAACTAAATTATGAACTGGGTGCTTGACTTGGTCAATTACCAGTTTCATTTTAATAATGTTCTTCATCATTCCCTGTTCCAGTGTGTATTATCCAAAGGACAAAATCAGAGACGTGAAAGGGGATGTGGTTGGTACGGTTGACATTAGTTGCACACTTCCACAAGCAACCAAAGATAAATGAGTATATATATATATATATAAAAAAAAAAGCTAAAGGATAATGGAATTTAAATAAATAAATATCCACAAAGCTCTTTCATCTTGCGTTACCAACAAATATCTCACAGCACTTTCTTCAGCTACTAGATTTTCATGTGGATGTGGCCCAATTCCACGTAAATTAACTATCAAGGAAGGATTCAACTTGAATTTATATATATATATATATATTGTGTGTGTGTGTGTGTGTTTTACCATATATGACAATTTACTCATTAGAAGACTTCCATAAGAACAATTTGCTAGTTTCCTTCACAAGGAACATATATTTATGTATTTTAACAAAAGAAACAGTACTACCAAGTTGAAATGTGTTCATAACTGAATATACACTTAAAATAATGTCAGGAAGAGATGAATGTTCAATTGAAGATATGAAATATTAGTAAGCATGAAATTAAATGAAGACAAGGAAACATTCACTTAATTATTTGTGAAAATAGTTAACAAGAAAATCCCTTGATTAAAACCTACAAGAACGCCATCTTATTCAACTTTGAAATCAATCAAAAGAAATTCATAAGCATAACTTACCAGGAAAATAAACCATTGTGTTGTGTCATATCAGAATTACGTAACATTGAATATGATATACAAATATCTGTGCAATAGCAGGAAATCATGGATTGACTAACTGAAAACCTAGTTGAAGAGAAAGTGAAGCAAACAAAAGGGTTTTTAACATCGTGCATACAAGACAAAATTTAGGCAGTAAAATACATGATATATGCCAATGTATTTGGCTACAGGTTGAACCTCACTCAAATTCAAGATGGTTGGTTAGCAACTTGACAAGCAAATATGTCTAGAGCTTGACCTCCACTTCAACACCAGCAGGAAGATCAAGTTGCATCAGAGAATCTATTGTTTGAGCAGTAGGATACAGAATATCAATGAGACGCTGGTGAGTTCTTATCTCAAAATGGAACCGAGCATCCTTGTGTACGTGAGGGGATTTAAGAACACAGTAGATTCGTCTCTTGGTTGGTAATGGCACAGGTCCCATTGTTTTTGCATTGGTAGTCCTTGCTGCATCTAATATCTGCTTGCAGGAATCCTCTATCAAGGGCACCCAATAAGATCTAAGCTTGATTCTAATCTTCTGCTTTGGTGCCATCTAAGAATAGGAACAACCAATATTATCAGATGATTTAATTTTATGGGAATATAGCAAAAAAAAAAAAGGCATCTCATGAATTGTTATTCTAATTTCTGGTTAGACATAAGAAAAACAAATCAATGGTTAAATACTCAATCTCAGACCATTGAGTTTCTTTTGGACCTTTCAACTGAACTTACAGATAACTTCACAAAGAAACTTATGAAAAATATGCTAACAGCACACTTGATTCCACATTAACTAATGTGCAAAATATAGAATTTCCATGAATACATTCCTGCTCGTCCATGAAAAACTATAAAATATCATAGGACATATTAAAAATGTAACAGTTATGAGCAGCCTATGCTATACTACTTACCTCTAAAAGTAGAAAATTTTAGGTTTTTACTCCATAGGAAGGGTAGCACAGCATTAAATTATTTATAAACTATGGAAGATTGCTGAACACATAGTTGAGAACATGTGATTACAAGAGTATTTGTTTCTACTGCATTGACCATTTAATTCCATAATGCTCAACTACTAATATTATCAAAGTGATCACAGTAAAGAAAGAATCAAAAGTATGTTTTACAATGTTAAAATGCAGTCAGGTATTTTGAGTGAGGTCTTAATTTATTTTTTATTAAAAAAATTCATGATTACAATCTCATGAAATAAGAAATCATAATACCTAATTTGGGCCACTAAAACAGTTCATAACAGATAGTTCTTAAGAGTGATTTTGATGGGAACTGAATTTACCGTTACCACCCATGCAAATTTTTAATAGCCTATGTGAGACCCTCTTTTGCCATCATCCATACAGGAGTGCCTAATTGGTTCTAGTGTTGACTTTACTTTTCTCGACATTCAACAACCAACTGTCCAACAAAAGAAACTACAACAAATTTGAGGAGTATATCTGGTATTTGACAAACAAGATATGAGAGATCATGTTTAGCCAAATTCTTCATGAAGGAAACATTTGTGCCAAGTGGACAACTTCCTAGGACTATAGTCGAAGGACGTTTACTTTTAGATTACATCTTAAAACCACCGGATATTAATGGAAGTTGCCTAACAAATATATCAGCTGCAACCCACGAAACTTTTAGTGGGACTTCCCAATAGTTACCAAACTCCCTTTGAACTTGAATGCTATTTTACAAGCTAAAATTGTTGGGGCCTCAATATCTTGCAGAGCTAGGCCCATTTTTGATGAATGAGGGTGAGGGATACAATACTAATAGGCCCTCACGCATCATGGAAAATTAAATGGCTATATATATATATATATATATATATATATAATTATCATCATAGCCGTCAAACCACTAACTATATTGAGAAAATTTGGTTTTTGAAACGTGAACAGACACAATCCGCTCAATTCAGAACACATATTCATGATTCACCAAAACTTTAACTACATAATCCAACATTTATTATTAAAACTCACAAAGTCTCGACTCTTTTAAGAGTTCCTACAAAATGATAGTTCAACCTAGGTGAACTACTCCACATTGTTTGTGGATATTGAATGATAATTATATTTAATGCGTAATTTATTTAAAGAACAGAACATGTTCTCAGGTCAACATCATTCTGTCCCTTTTGATTAGCTTTAGGGCCACATAAGTGATTGCATGAAGACTCTGATTCAGAAAAAAAAGAGTAATGATATAGCTAAATAAGTTGTGTGAGAGTGGCTATATGAAACCTCTGTTTCTAAATGATGAAAACAGAACAATGGGATTTCCAAAAAGGAGGTTTAGAGCAAGTGAAGGACTGTATGAAGCCACAGTTTCAGAAGATCGATGAAAGAAGAATGGAATAATCAAACAGGGTGCTTTAAGAATAACTTCTTCATTTCACTTTTATTTAAAATATATACAATTTTATAGCATTCGGTTTCTCAGATGAGAATTGGTAAAAAATAAAAAGCAACACAGAAAAAATATCAAAAAATTCCTAAGTAATGATTCATATATGTGATACAGAACCCCACGATTCTATGCATTATCACAAAACCATAAGTGATTCATAACATTATACAAATTGTTAGATTGCTGAATTGTATCAAATTATGAACCCTACAATCATGTAATTATAATAACCTTCCAAATTTACTTGTGAAACAGATTTCACCCAAAATTACAACTACAAAACTGTCTATTACAAACGTAACTGGTCACCAATAGTATTGAGAACCAATGCCACCTCGTCAAGGAACTATGCCATATGACTATGAGGAAGCATATGTATGTTCACTACTGACTAAGTGACTAGCATCAATACAACTCATTTAACCTCTTACCTGATTTACCAACACAATTCACAGATTAAAATGTCCATTAATTTCTTATTATAGTTCCTCAACGTTTTTACTGGATATAATTCACGTTTGAAATCTGAGCCTCACGTGTAAAAGATAAAGCACAAGCCCCAAACACAAAAAATGTTAAAGAGCAAGTGGAAATACGGAATTGATCAACATACCGCATCTGCATCAGCGCCAATGCTAATTGCCGAAGTGCTGGGAATCCCCAAGTCACCAACCTAAAATACCAAAATATTGCATTAACAAGGATACTAATTGCACCATACCAACTAATATCTAAACCCAACACTTGGCTATTGAGCTCAAAACATCAATGATATGTTTGGATGGAAGGAAAGAGAGTACAGCAGAAACGAAACACAGATAACAATGTAGTTTCCTTTGCTCAGTTAAAGGAAAGTGGAAATCAAAGGGAGAAAAAAGTCAACTTCAACAAACAAAAAATCAAAATTTTATCTCCACCCATTTTCTCTTCAATTTAAATTTCAAATTTTCCTCCCTCATTTTCTCTCTAAGCTACTCAACATAAAGTAAGGAAAATACCTAGCCAGCTAAACCATAATTACATTAAGTCAGTGCCATTATACTTCCTAAATCTCCAAAGAAACAAGTTAATGACATTGCAAAAGACAAAAACAATAACATTGTCATAATTTTCATTATCCATTTCACCGTATCTCCATTATCTTAAATTATCAACAAACACGCTCTACAGATAAATAACACGCATACTGAATTAGTACATTCTAGAAACACAATTAATCAAGCCATGGTAGAAGTCCTAGAATACATCATCCAATGAAGAAATATCAAACCACACACACCCACAAACCTGAAAAGTAGTGGGTTCAGAGTCATCATCAAGGGTTTCTGGAGGTGGGTCCAAGGGATCAGGGGAAGAATCCAATACTTCCGGAGCAACATGAACCACAGTTGATGAGTGCAGAGGTTTGGGGCATGTGACCCTCAAGGAGTTACCCGAGAAAAGGCACAAAGATGGAGACTTTAGCTTGGAAGATAGAGAGGGAGAAGAATTGGAGAGAGAAAGCGGGGTAACAGAGAGAGAAGAAACCGCCATTGAAGCTCTTGAACAATTCTCTCACTCTCAAAGAACCAACTAGTGCGAAGCTACAGAAGGTCGTGTTCCTACACTTTGCATAGAATTATCCATAATTTATTTTCTTTTTTTATTTTCTTTTCTGGATCAAAACCCAAAAGCCCATTAGAAAACGGGCTTTCAATGCCAACCTTTTACAAACATGGCCCAATATGTTTTTTGGTTTCCAAGTTGTAAATATTTGAAACTTATACGAATACGTAACTGTTTCTTTCTTTGAATTTTTAAGTTCTAAATTGTGTTAAATATTTTTTTACAGGGAAATGCTTCGTCAACTGAATCAATCTGTTGTATGAATTGAACACCCAAAAACCATAATACAAATGCATTTCGTCAAACTAATTTCTTTCGTTTACAATGTCTCTTTCAATGATAAACTTTTAGAATTTATTTTATTAAGATAATATTTTATTAATTTATTAGAATCTCATATCTGATTTAAGAAAATGATATATTTTGTGTAACTATGATTCATGAATTTGGTATATTATACTTATTATCGGTATCTTTCAATATATTATGGGAATAATATTAGTTTGACCTTTAGTTTCACTAAAAGTGTTTATGTAGGTGTTAAAGATAATTTCATTGTTGATCTTAGCTCAATATATATTATTGAAAATTAAAATATTAATTATATTATATATATATATATATATTATTTTTTTTTGTAAAATTTTATTATATTTATTCTTTTTTATGTTATCATAAAAATTATGATTTAATGAATGAAGTAATAATTAATTATGTGGAAAAAAATATATGTGATGTGTTGTGAAAGTAAACCTAATAATTCTTTATTAATTATGATGAGATATATGTAATATATTTAATTTAAGATCTTTTAGATATTATAATTTTTCCAACGTCATGAGATATAGCTTATACATTGGATATTTGACACTTAATTTTTTTTATACTTGTCATGCATGATAGATTTATTTATGATATAGAATATGAAAGTCAAAACATTATAATATCTAAATAAATTATACACTAAGTCAAAACATTAATAACTCAGGACGAATATGGTAAAAATTTTATAATATTTAATTTTAAACATTCATATATTTAAATCTTGTAATATTTGATTTTACTTATGTGTATTTTAAAACTTAAAGTTAATATGTTTTTACTTTGTAAAGTTAAATTATAAATAATATATAAAAAAATATAAATCAAAAGTAAAATATAATTTATCAAATAAAGTAAATATTTTTTTAATATACTTATATTTAAATTAAGTTATTAGTTTATAGTCGAAATTTTCTTGAATAAATATATTGGTATTATATTTAAAATAGAGGGTGCAGTAATGTAAAATGGAAGATATAAATTTTATTAATAAACATATGTGAATGGTTCTATCCACGAACTATTCATCTGATTTCAACCCCACCAAAATAACACCGCTAATTTATGTTACTATAATATATCAGTTATTATATATGAAAAGAGTAACGAATCTAGAAATCGTTATTATAATGATGTCTTCGTAAAGTAGTAAATAAGTAAATAACAACATCTATTTTACATTATATTATTGTAATTGTAACATAGATTGAAATTTCAGTTCACTAACGAAACTTCAAAATATAGAAACATAATTTATTTATATATTATACATGTAAAAGTAACTCCCTCGAAGTTATCCCATCGAACTATCCTCGTCGTCCAATAGTCACATCTCCATCTCTCAACTCCCGATCTGCTCCCACATAAAAGTGATCATCGCAGTCCCATCCACATGGAAAAACAGGGGTAAGTATTAAATCATTCGATATAACAAAAACAGATATAAAAGTAATAATTATATATTATGATCAATTACGAAATTATCAACACACTAAGACACCTTCCGGAAGTATACCCTAACTATGTCCGAACTCAGAGACTATCATCTGTGGGCACATTGTGATCGGTACCCGCAGTACCATTATGACCACCCTCCACACAAAGTAGGATTACTGGCGCCCTTCATCACTCATACTGGAGTACCCCTCTGAGCGCGACACCAGTCATCCACCATCGACTTCTCACCACCTAATCTCGTAGTCTACCTGACCCAACCAATCAATGAAGTCTAGGACCTCATTCAGAATCCTCCGACATAGTTATTACACTAATGTACTCAGTACCACCCCGGGTACCATTCAAACATAACAAAAATTATTCACATTTGCCGGATTCTGGACCACCTGTCCTCACGGCTCATTCAGGTCAATAAAAATAGTATTTGGCTGATTCTGGCACCAACCCTCCGGCTCGGTCTAGCCAATATATAACGTCTCATGACTGATTCTGGGCATCAGCCCTCAGGCTCAGTCTGACCCACACACGTCACAACACACTACTTTCATTCTCTCTCTCTCTCTCTCTCTCTCTCTCTCTCTCTTTATATATATATTTTTCTAAAATCATTTCCGAAATCATTTCCGAAACTATTTCCGAAACTATTTTCGAAATCATTTCCAAAATCATTAAATTACTATTTTGCCCTTAATCTTTTCTGAAAATTCCATGTATGTCCCTAAATGACTATTTTACCCTTGGACATTTTCGAAAATTCCTTCCATGTCCCGAAAATGACTATTTTACTCTTGAACATTTTCAAAAATTCCATTTATGTCCCTAGAATGTAAAATGACTATTTTACCCTTGAACATTTTCAAAAATTCCTTCGATGTCCCTAGGATGTATAATGACTATTTTACCCTTGAACATTTTGAAAAATTACATTCATGTCCCTTTCTTCTTCCTCGCTCCCTATAAGCCATTTTTAAAATCTAGATTTTCCAATTTCTCAGTTTAAAGTACCAAATTAGTTCTAAATCAAAATTAAACATGCAATATGTCCAAATTAAGTCAAAAACAACAATTTTACTATATAATTCATCCTTAATTTCAAGAATTTCATCAATATTTAAAACTTTGCAAAATATGAATAGTAATCACCTCCAGTATGTCATTTTCAAAATTCAGGTTTCAAATTTCTCAGTTTCAATCACCCAAATTAGTTCCAAATCAAAATTAAACCATAAACATGTTCAATTTAAGTTAAAAACAACAATTTTATTATATAATTCATCCTTAATTTCAAGAATTAAAAAAAAAAACTTCAAACGGTGAACAGTTCATCAGAATCAGAAATTTTTCAAAATCAGACAGTCAAATAATTCATATCTCTACTCCTATTCCTTATTCACATGGTATTCACAGAGTACCCAACAATTCAATTTTATATATTGAATGAATTAAACTTCCCCTTACCTGGTATGGTATTTCTACCGAAGCTTTCCCACTTAATTCAAGCTTTCTCCTGTTTCACCAGATCCTGCATGAGTAGAGTCTCGTTGCTTGAAATTTAGACAATAGAAGAAGAAGGATGAGAGAAAATTTTTATTCTCATCCTCCTCCGCGTCAGTACGTGCATATATAAAAGCAAAAATTTACTATGCATGAGGAAAACTTCGTTACGAAGTTTTCTTGCACAACAATCTTATTATAATAGTAAAAAAAACATACGTCACAATCTCCCCTCCACAAAAATTTTCGTCCTCGAAAATGAACTTACTTGGAAATAGATATGGATAGGACTCTCGCATCTGATCCTCCATCTCCCAAGTGAATCCCATACTACCTTCACCATTGAGATGGTTCTACCTCTAAGTTGCTTCAGCTGAAAATCCTCTATCCTCACTGGTCTCACATCAACGGAGAGATCGTCTCTAATCTGCACATCGTCTGACTCCAGGACATGACTGAGGTCATGTACATATTTCCTCAACTGAGATACATGAAATACATTGTGCAAATTCGCCAAATGAGGTGGCAACGCTAACTGATATGCCATTGGACCTACTTTCTTCAAAATCTGATATGGGCCAATAAACTTGGGAGTCAACTTATTAGATTTAATTGCCTATCCTACTCCAATAGTAGGTCTGATTCTCAAAAATACATGGTCTCCCCCCTCAAATTCCAAAGGCCTCCTCCTCTGGTCCGCATATGATTTTTATTTACTCATAGCGGCTCTCAGCTTCTCTTGTACCTCCCGAACCTTCTCTGTAGTCTGCTGGAGTAGCTCAAGTCCGATCAACACTTTCTCCTCATCCTGATACCAACATAAAGGTGTTTGACACCTTCTCCCATAAAGAGCCTCATATGGTGACATTCCGATACTGGCATGATAGCTGTTATTATACGTGAACTCTATTAATGGAAGGATATCATCCCAACTTCCTAGATTATCCAACACACAAGACCTCAACAAGTCTTCTAATGACTGGATGGTCCTCTCTGACTGTCCATCTGTCTGGGGGTGATAGGCTGAACTAAACCTAAGTCGGGTACCTAATGCCTCTTGTAAAGTCTGCCAGAATCTTGAAGTAAATCTAGGATCCCTATCTGAGATAATGCTAGATGGTACCCCATGTAATCGAACAATCTCGCGAATATATAGTTGTGCCATTTTAGCCATATATCCTCATATTTACAGGGAGGAAATGTGCACTCTTCGTCAATCTGTCCATTATCACCTAGATTGAATCGTGCCCCCGAATTGTTCGTGGTAAGTGGGTAACAAAATCCATGGTAATGCTATCTCACTTCCATTCAGGTATCTCCATTTGCTGTAGCATTCCTCCCGGCCTCTGGTGTTCCACCTTTGCTTTCTGACATGTCAAACAAGCAGCCACATACTCTGCAATATCTCTCCTCATACCAGACCACCAATAAATCTACTTTAGATCTTGATACATCTTAGTCATACCAGGGTGTAGACTCAGACGACTCCGATGACCTTCATCTAGTATTGCTCTCTTCAATTCCTGTTCAACAGGAATACAAATCCTTCCTCTAAATCTCAGAATTTTATCCTCACCCATCTTATAGTCAATGGTCTGCTCGGATCATAACTGATTCATAACACTTTTCAACATCATATCACCTTGTTGTCTATC